GAAATGATTTTTGTCATTAATATGGTTAATTTCAAGTTCCAAATTATGTTAGAAATGTAGAATGTTTCATTGTGTTCGTATTTGTAGGTAAGGATTTCCTTGGGCAGCCGATCAAAGTCGAATTTGCAGAGAAGAGAGTTCCCAAAGGAGGCTTTGGTCGAGGTGGAGGACGAGGTGCAGTTGTGGGTCTTTTATTTTGGATAAATTATCGTGCCACATGGCACATTCTTGTACTCATGCTCTATTCAGTGCTTGCAGTGGGGTGGCTAGACCTAGCAAACTGTTTTGTAGTAGTGGGTAGCACTGGGGTAGAATGGTATCAAGGATGTTTTTTGCCTTCAAGGGTGTAGGGTTAAGCTGAAGTCTGCATACCAGCCAGGCCAGCGAGTATCTTCGGTTTCTGTAGCACAAAGAAACTAGGGGGAATGTCTACTCCTCCCTGGATGGGAGGATAGTCCATCCAAGGGTTACCTCCCAGCATTAGATTAAACTAGCCAAGTGCATTAACCACGAGGTCTCCTAGGGGTGTTCTGATAAAAATTTGTCAATTTTAAGGAGCAAATCAATCAATGGCAAAGTTGATGCCAAATTGCCGGTTTTCTTCACTTTGCTAGGTCTGAGTGACAACAACTGTGTATTAGCTGTCCCAGAGTAGCTTAATTTCTGACTCTGTTTTCTCACACAGGAGGTGGACGCGGTGGACGTGGAGGGGGTGGTTTCGGTGGTGGTGACCGAAGGGGTGGCCGGGATGATAGCCGTGGTGGTGGAGGTGGAGCAGGGGGAGGAAACCAGGGCAAATTAGAGGCTCGTGCTGGAGACTGGGACTGCTCGTCGTACGTACTATTTTTGTGTCCAAATTAGCAGCGAAATGCAAAACAGTTATGATCTTGTACCGTCCCACCACTGCCCTTGGTTATGTTTCAATGCACTTGTAAACCCTCTTGCTCCTTAAAGAAGTTAAAGATACTCAATCATTTCTATCTAAAGACATCCTCAATAGGGGCAAACAATTTCTTATTATTACAATAACTTTATTACAAATTTAAATTAAAACAAGATTTCAATCTCTTGTAGTCTTACTGTTTTTGATTATTTCTGAAAAACATTCCCCAAAAAACTTCACTTGTCCTTTGAGCAAGCAAAGGCTAAAGTCCACTAGCCCAATCGCAAAATCCACCGGCCCCTAAGTAACAGAAACTACTGCTATTGTGCTGAAATCTCTGAGATGGTTACAGGTGACATTTGCTGAATGGAACTATAACTTGGATCATACAAATTTGAAAATTTCGTCCAAATTTTACCATTTTAATGTTCAAATTCTATCTTATCCCTATCTTACTTGCTATAGGCTCGTTACATATGATTACTTCAATTCTGACTTGCTTGCACAAATTTTCCTACACTTTGGAATGTGTACATGTAGAAGTTAATACTTCAAGTCATGGGTAGCTCACTGATTGTCTGGGTCCTTTGTGATTGGCCAGTGATTACTGGCCTGTGTATTCAGCTAAATTATTGTTTAGCAGTCAAATGGTATAAGTAAGGATATTATTGTAGCAATCGCAGAGTCTGATGCATTTTGTTTGTGACCAGGTGTGGAAACATGAATTTTGCCAGGAGGGATACTTGCAACAGATGCCAGACCCCACGATCTGGTGACGGTGGTGATGGTGAGTATTTGAGTATTCATCATGTTAGATTTTAACCCCGTCACATTTCTGACAGATGAGAAGTGGTGTCTAGTATTCACTCTTTACCTCAGAATTATTAGTTCCTTTGAAATAAGGTGATTTAGAAGCACTCTCGATCTTTTTTATAGCAGTTAGATTGAATAAGATGTATTCCAACAGATGGATGAGATTCCATAGATGTTGACAGTGGGAAATCTGCATCTCTTGACAGCTGCAAGAAGTTGTCTTAAAACTATTTGTATCATCTTTAGAGTGCAGTGGAACCCTGTTAGTGTGACCACCTTGTGGTCATAATTAATAGTTTCCTAAAATTAGAAAATGCCTAAATAAGCATCTTCTTGAGCCCCCAAAAAGCTCTCAGTATACTATAAATATAAATATACATTTATATAGCGCAGTTTCCCACTAATTGTCCATGGCGCTTTACAATACTTTAAAATTAAAATACTAAGTTTAAAATCCTTGTTGAGGGTCTGGTTGCACAGTACTCAGTTTCTCATTTTATTCTAGGTGGTGGTGGTGGTGGATATGGAGGAAGAAGTGGTGGCGGAGGAGGAGGTAGAGGAGGCTGGGGTGGAGGTAGAGGAGGTGGTGGCCGCGGTGGAGGACGTGGCGACAGAAGAGGAGGGCCAGGTGGGCGTGGTGGTGGTGGACGAGGTGGCTACGACAGGTAAAATTTTTATAATTGATGCGTTTTTCTCAAGTACTGTTTACACAAAATTTAACTATTATTGCTTGGATTATTGCTGGTTTTCAACTTTCATTCAGCAGAAATGATCATTAAATGTTGTTGTTTCTTTTACTGCAGACAAGGCATGAGACAGGAGCGAAGAGATCGCCCGTACTGATGAGCCTCTTAGTTCACTTAGATCCAAAGCAAACCACATAGATTGAAACCCTTATTTTATCTTACGTTATCGAATAAGAATGTTTTCCATAGCAAAACACTGTATTGACTGTTAAGCTTATAAATTATTTGTTTTTCCTGTATTGTAAAATTTTACCATCAAAATAAAAGTTTGTGTTCTGTCATGACCCTGTAACTTCTTTGATATACCCCAGTTTTTGTTGTGTTTTATTAAGCGATTTCATTGTTTGTGTAGAGGGTAAATCACAGAGCCAAAATCTCTACAAAGTCTTGGAAAGAATCTACTACAGCCATTGGTTTTGACCTAATGAAAACCCGTAGTCAGTCATCCTATTTTAAGAACCTCTTAAATACGAGTCGACCACTCTTTTCAATTAGTAGGGTTACAGGTAGTGTCAGAAATAAATAATACTAATAATTAACAAATGGTAAACGCCATAGCGTGTACTATTGAGTTATGGATGCACGCGGGAGGTTGCTAAGCACGGAAGAAGCGTAAGAGTCGCACGAGGCGATTGTCGAGTGCGACTCTAGCTTCTTGA